TTTTCTTTAAGACAATTTCCTCTGTAATCTCTTCTTTTACTTCTTCCACAACAACAGGCTTTTTGATAACAACTTCATCAGCTGCTTCTTCAGTTACTGGCTTCTTCTTTGGTTTCTTCTTTATTGCTACTTCTTCGGTTACTTCTTCAGGAACCTTCTCTTCCTTTTCAGGTTCTGGTTTCTTCAGTACTTTCTCTTCAACCACTTCTTCAGGAACAGGCTTTTTCTTTGGTTTTTTCTTCAAAGTAACTTCTTCTATTACTTCCTTTTCTTCTGTAACAACAGGTTTTTCAATCGTAATCTCATCAGGTGCTTCTTCCTTTACAGGTTTCTTCTTTGGCTTTTTCTTTATCGTTACTTCTTCAGTTACTGGTTCTGGAGCTTTTTCCTCTTCTTTGGGTTCAACCTTTTTCAAGACAATTTCTTCAGGAACTTCTTCAGGAACTGGCTTTTTCCTTGGTTTTTTCTTTATTGTAATTTCTTCTGTTATTTCTTCCTTTTCTTCTTCAACAACTACAGGCTTTTTGATAATAACTTCATCAGCAGCTTCTTCTTCCTTTATAGGCTTCTTCTTTGGTTTTTTCTTTACCTCGACTTCTTCAGTAATTGGTTCTGGAACATCTTCTTTAGGCTCAGGCTTTTGCAAGACTACTTCCTCAGTTACTTCTTCAGGAACTGGCTTTTTCTTTGGTTTTTTCTTCAAGGTAACTTCTTCTACCTCTTCCTCTTTCTTCTCGTCCTCCGGAACAACAGGTTTCTCAATCGTTACTTCTTCAGGAACCTCTTCTGTAGGTTTCTTTTTGGGTTTCTTTTCTTTCTTTTTGGGCCTTATTGTAACTTCTTCCGTTTCATCTTTTGGAACTTTTTGAACTTCTTCCTCTTCCTCTTTAGGGAATTCTTCTGTACCCTCATCTTCTGGTTTGTCTTTTTTCCATCCCTTTAATTTAATCGTTTCAGGTTCCTCTTCCGGTTTTTCTTTCTGGGGTATTCTAAACTTCACCTCGGGTTCTTCCTCTGGTTCTGGTGATTTTGGTTTGCCCGGAATAATTGGAACTTCTTCGATTTCTTGATCAGGTTTCTTACGTTTTTCTTTAACGTATGGTTTTGGTTTCGGTTCTGGTTTTGGTTCTTCAGGTTTCTCAATTTCTTCTGGTACATACTTTTCAAGTTCTGGTCTATCAAATTCGGTTGGTTTGAAATCTTCGTGTTCCAGTTTTACTTTTGGTTTTCGTTTCTTCTCTTTTGGTTCTTCCTTTTCTTCAACTTC